AGCTCTCTTCCTTTCTAGGACTTTGTTCATATTATGGGTCCTTTATAAAAGATTTTGCAGCTATTGCTGAACCATTGTTAAAATTATAAAGGAAAAAGGCAAGATTCTCGTGGAAGGCCGAAGCCAATAGTGCTTTCGAAAAATTAAAGCAAGCATTAAAGCAAGCCCCTGTTTTGAAATTTCCTGAAAATGATGAGAATTTAGAAATTTCAGCGGATGCTCCGGATAATGCGGTAGGAGCGGTACTTTCGCAAAATCAGCAGCCCGTGGCATTTTTTAGTCGAACTTTAAATCAAACACAAAGAAATTATTCCGCGACTGAGAGAGAGGCACTTGCAGTTCTGTTAGCAGTGCAAAAGTTCCGAGTCTATTTTGGAAGGTCTCCAATAACAGTGTATTCTGATCATGCGGCGGTAACTAGATTGTACTCAGGGAAAAACTTATCCCCAAGGTTAATAAGATGGGCACTCAAGTTACAAGAGTATAATCTGCAATCAAGCACACCCCCCGGAAAGGAAAATATCGTAGCAGATGCCCTATCCAGAATAAAAATAGATGAAGAAGGTAATACTGTAAAGGTGGCAATGCTCACAGCATGTACCATACATTCCCGAGAAACTGTAATAACCAAACTGGGTAAGGATCCTGAATTTAAAAACATTTATTAGTATTTAAAGGATCCTGAAAGTTTTAGCCACCAAGATATTGTGGCGATAAGAAATAGGGCGGCCCATCACGAACTAATAGATGGTCTATTATTTATACAAAAACTACGAATTCCAACAACGAATTTCGACCTGTTATCCCAGCTATTAAATTAAATTAGCTATTAGATTAAATTTACTTCAGGAGTTGACACGACTTCGCCTTTGGCATTCTCATGGTGGTATTCGGAAAAACCATCCAACGCGTACGCGAAGCAATTTATTTTCCTGAACTGCAAAAGTTAACAAGGGCGTATGTCCAGTCCTGCCCAACATGTCAAGCAGTTAATTATATTAATTTCCGCCCGGCCGGTTTCTAAATAGCATTAAATCCGAATTTCCAAATGAAATAATTGGCATCGATTATTGGGCCTTTGGGCCCTTTCCCAAAAAGTCAGGTAAATAAAAGTCGGTATCTCCTTGTTATGGTTGATCATTTTAGTAAGTGGACCGAAATTGTTCCCTTAAAATTAAAACGAGCCTCCGCGAAATTAATTACTGATTCTATTTTAAATAAATATATTTTAAAATACGGGGCGCCCCTAAAAGTTATATCGGATAATGGTCCTCAATTTGTAAGTAATATATTTGAAGACATGTGCCAAAAACTGGGCATACGTCATTTAAAAATGGTCCCGTATCGGCCGCAATCAAATATAGCGGAACGGGCCAATCGAAATATAGTGAAAATTATCCGTAGTTATGTTAAAATTTTTCATAAAAGCTGGGATAACTATGTCAATGAATTGGCTTTCGCCCTTAAGACCGCAAAACATGATACAACGGGCAAAACTCCTGCTGAGTTATTTTTAGGCAGGAAGATTATAACGCCGTTAGATAAATTATTTTATGTTCAACAAAGAGCCCCAGAATTTAAAATGGGCGATATAGAAAAATTAATTAAAAAAAAAAAAAAAAAAAAAAAGCAAAAAAGAACATTGAAGTAGCACAGAGAAAACAGAAAAACTTTATGATGATAGGAAACGACGGGGGAGTAACTTATAAAGTAGGAGATGAAGTGTTAAAAAATTAAGCATTCACTTTCTTCAGCACCAGAAGATAAAACTGCCAAGTTTTTTTTTTTCCACGATTTTGAAGGACCATATATATAATAGAAAAAATAACTCAGGCTGTAGTGGTGTTAAAAGCCAGGAATGGTGAAACATGCTCCCGCAAACATTGACCAGATAAAACCATTCTATAATCGTAATAAAATGCCCAATATTTAAAGATCTTTCGCAGGATCCGGCACGGCAGGCACTGCAGGCACAAGCTCCAGAGGTGGAACACAACGACAATCACAAGGGCAAGCCATGAATAGGAGGCAGGTGCAATATGAAAAGAAAGTTTCCCCGTTGGGAAAATTGAAGGTAACAAGAAAAGAGAAGCCGTTCCACCGACCAGAAAAGAGAGAGCACGAACCACCCCCAGAATGAAGAAGGGAGAAAGTTCTACGAATGCAAAGAGAGCCAGGAGAATAACGGCAGCAACTATAACCCGGCTCCAAAACGGAAAGATCTACCCATCGGATAGGAGTCTACGCAGCAAATGTCGACGAATTGATGAAGGAACACCAGCTGCAGATGCAAAGAAGCAAGAAAAATTTGAACAGCCAGCAACGAGATCCAAGCAGGAACGAGAGAGTAAGTGTCCCGGTTCCGCCAAGACCAGCTGCCATAACACGGCGGAGACCACAGGCAGAGGCTAAAAAGAAGATCTTCAAGGGTGACCAAACGGGAAGGAAAAGAAAGCTCATGGAGGAAGGAACGAAAGGGCGAACCCGCACAAGCAGGAAGATAAACCAAACCGTAGTCTTCGCTACCTTCCAGGACTGGGCAGAAAAAAGGATGTCCGAATATCACAAAGATAAGTAAAACTTTATGTTTACTTTGAAACCTTAAGTTAATCTTTCATTGTTACTTTTACTGCAAGAGGCAGAATTCAAGAAGTTTTACCACATGTGAGGTCTACCTTTATCGCCAAAAAGGCGAGAAATGAGTTGTTACCTATTTTGGTATTATGTTTTTCAATTACTCGCGAGTAAAACTAAAATTAATGTATAAGAGGAATGTGTAAATACTTGAATATTGTAAAAGCATTGATAATCTTTGAGAAAGGTACCTTAAGAAAATTGTAAAAGTTATTGTATAAAATTTTAGTTAAAAGATTATGGCAAGAAAGAAGTTTCAGTCTGAAAGACTTTTGAAATATAGTATTTCAATGTAGAAGAATTGGCACTTGCTTGGAAAAGAATAGAAGTTAACAATGTACTACTAATGTATGTTTTAAAATGCGTAAAATTAACGGCATGTTAATATGTCCTTATATACAATGTGAACTGTTATTTTAAACGTTAAGAAATACTGTGATATGTTAAAAGTGAAAGTAATGCCAAAAAATTTTTAAACCTATTCGTGTGACTGAAAAAAAAAGAGCAAATTATTGTGAATATGAGTTAAAGGTTGAATGAAATGAATGTAGTTAGACTCTCTGACGCTGCACTTCAGAGTTAGTCACTTTTCAGAATAGTACCTCAGGGTTTAGAGATGAATATAAGGTGTGTTCTGAGGTCTTGTTATGTTGAATTTTAACACGTTAGTGTTTTGATTGCAGGCGGTAGTGTTGAACACTTGTACATAAACACGTTCGAGTTTGGTGTTTTCCTTTACAACACATGTCAGAGAGCACGGGGAGATAATTAAATAACGTCATGAATGAAATAAGAATGTTAAGAGAAATATAGGTATTCATGTTACTTGCCATTTAATTGTGTAACATTTCATTAAACTAGTTTTCCTTCCAGATCTCTGAAAGGAACCAGATTTCAACTAAGAACTCTTGTTTAGATGCAGTGCAGATGAAAAGTAATTGTCCATGGAGTTGATAATGTAAAAACGACTTTTTTTTTTTTTTTTTTTTTTTAATTTCTAGTATCTAGTGAGAAATGTTTGTAAAAGATTGGCCTCGCGTTAGATTCTAGAGCTAAAAAATTTCAACAAGGTCGTTTTAGACCTCAGTTTCAAACTAATTAACTCTGGCGGGATGTATGTAAGGATCTTAAGTTTTACTAACGTTTATTTTATTTTAAATCTTTCTATCACTTCTTATTTCTATTTTCTACTTCCGGCCAGAATTAAAAGCTTTAACTTATTTATTATGCAAATTTGTCTTGCTAACGCCAAGTACTTAAGTTGTGGCTTTTTGCCAAGCAAGAGAGAGGAAGGAGCTATTAGAAGCAGGCCACTTGCCATAGTAGTTTTACTCGGTTTGCTGGTTGCCTTCAAGGCCAGCGGTTTAATTCCTCTTGATAATTTTAAACGTATCGTAGTGTTAGCAGTTCTCTGTACTACATACGGCTTTTTGTTATATAACGGCCAATCTTGGAGTTAGGCACTTGTTTGATTAATCCAAAATTAGTTTAGTTAGAGTTTATTTAATATTTTTATATTCTTACGTTCAGACCACAAGTGGTTGGTCTCTGTATTCCGAAGTCCGAAAATCATTGTAAAGAGAGAAAAATAAAGGGTTTCGTATACCCTTCCTGTGTGTATTGTCTACTTCCCAAATTTATTGAACATAGCTTTAGTAAGCTCCCTGTTCCGAGTCAGGACAGTTAAATGTTCCCTAAGCAAGTAAGGAGGAACACGGAACCTGATAATATTAAGTAGTACAATTTTGAGTTTCATAGTCGACAAAATTATTAAAATATATTCTTCAAATACCAGTTCGGAAATGTCATCTTCCCTTCGTAGTAAAGTCTCCTGTCTATCTGATGTTATAAGAAAGAGAGAATGATGTTAAATTTTGTATTTATAGATTCCAGCAGATGGTTTTCCAAACTAGCTCATTGAGTTTTCCTTTAAAAGCGATTGTTATTATAGATGCAGTCTAATTTTAATTTTATTACAGATTAAACGAAGATTGTCACTGAAATTCATAAAAGACTAAAGAGTTAAAAAAATCACACTTTGAAAAGGAAGAATAGGTAAACTGAACCACTATTTATTACAATTGCTTAGGTAAATTACGTATTAATGCACTATTCGAGCTAAAAGTGTTTGTAAAACAGTGAACCACTTGTAAATCAAAAATTATCAAATAAATAAACAACAGCGTAACCCACGCAGAAACCTCGCAACAGCCTTAAACTGGTCAGGGCCATAAGCGTACACTCACCCATTAACAACGAAAGGATCTTGAATTTTATTGGCTGATGGTAACTATGGAAACCGCCTCTACGTATTTTCAGTGAGAGTGCGCAATAGACCTTTAGTCGATCTACACGGTCGATGAAAATTCGGCAATGCTCTTCAGCAAGATATGTGAAAAAATATGGGTTACTTTAATAAGGTGTAGTAATATACCAATCATTTGATCGCACAATGCTCTGATTAAGAATATCAACTAACTAATTATTAAACTAGGATAGAAGAGGGGGAAAAAGGATATCTGAAAATGAATATTCACAGAATACTTTTGAATATCAAAGAGGATGGCCCTGAAATTAAAGCAGTGGAAGAAGGTTAGAATTTTTAAATATTACTTCAAAATTTAGCCGATACTGAGAGATTATATAGTGTTTATAATGCCATGTTATTAATTTTCTTATATTTACTAATATTTGAGGAGAGAATGTACATCATATGTTACGTCCGAGTGTATATCGTTATATGATAAAAAAAAAAAAAAAAAAAGACTGCGTATTAAAGGATATCTGTACGCACAAATAAATTGAGTTTTCATTTTTCTAATTATTCCTTTGATAAAAATATAATTACTATTTTTTTATGAAATTTAACAATATTTATAGCTGATATTACAATTTTAGATATTAGGGTTAATTTTTAGAAAGAGGATTGAGTGATCTTAAATAATGTTTACAGTTTTATGAATGAATGGTACATAATTTTGAATTTTAAATTAAAAAATACAGTAGGAAAAAACTAATTTATAGTTATGTACTCTAATGACAGAAAATGTGCTATTTATTTTTTTATTTATATCCAATATTTTAAAATATTCCATACTATACTAAAAATTTGTCATATACATTACGTAAAATAAAATGAAAAATGTTTAGTTTATAGTCCTATATATTTGCAGGTTTTATATTATTTTATAATTATCTTGAGTTACATGGAGTATATGAATTACAAATAACTTTCAAACCTTATTTTTATGTAGACGGAAAGAAAGTTTACGCTTTCTTGTTAATTATATATAATTATATTTGAATCTGATATCAGTTTGAAAATTTTACGATAGAACCATAAAACCTTATTTTTTAATTATATGAAAACCGAAAAGTGAAGAAAACATTTCGAGTAATTGGAAACTCGAGAGAATAAAAAAGTTAACATTATTCATGTCATTAGTGGAAGAAGGTTTGACTTGAAAATGTAGAATTATTACATTTCGAGTAAATAAAATTAGTCCATTTACGATCATTTGGTTTCATCTTCAATTTTAGATACTGATTTTGCTTACTAGTGCAGTTCACAGATAAGTATGAACATGTTATCAAATGCTAAAAAATTCATAGTTTTGAGCACATCAAACACATAGCATATCGTATTGTTTCCTAGTCAGAGATTGTTTGTCAATAACCGTAAACGTACATACACATATCGCAAACTGTGCGGCTTTCTGTAAATTACCCATGCCTGGGTAGTAGCCTTAATTTTTATTAAACGCAGAAAAAATATGACACAACAATTAATTTTCTCTTCAAATTAACAATCAGCAGAAAATAATAATATGACTTCATTACGTCTTTGGTTTTCCTAATATCCTACTGTTTTCCTAAATATCTGTATATAGATTCTGTTAAAATTATCTTAACGAACAATAAATTAAAAATGATGCTATCAAACATTTTAATTTCAAATTTGAGAGTGTGGCAGAGAACTTGATTCGATGTTAAAATATATAGCCCTTTATGTTAGTTAAAATATTTTGGGGCTGAATTAGTCATTATATATATATATATAAGCTTTCTTATGTATTAGTCAAGTTGCGAACGCTTAAAAATATATATATAAATATATTTCTAAGAGTTCGTAACTTGACTAATACATAAGAAAGCTTTTAAATAAAAGACAAAACAGTAAACAAACAATTTAACAACATTTAATTACTATCGTGGCATGTATATATGATTATTATATAAACAAACTGCCTTCATACTGAAATTATAATTACGATATGCCATACAGTACATTTTTCAGTACTTCCTTATTATAGCAGCCCGCAACATTGAATAGTTTTATCAACCGAAATATCTCGCCACGTGTTCTTATACCTCGCTACGTATTACATCTCGGTTGATTAGCGATTAAATTTTGGGGGCCGCTATAATAAGGAAGTAGCCATTTATCTTACAGTTGGAGAATATTTAGTTATATTCATTTTTATTAAAATATATTACCCTATGAAAAAAGCATTCTACAAGGGTTCAGAAATAAAAATGAGCGTTAATAACTCATTTGCATGTTTTTATTTTTGCTACAGAAATGAAATTTAGAAATTTGAATAGTAAAATAATAAAAAATAAGTGCATGGAGAAGCAACAGTCTTAGTAAAGTGTTTACACTGCAATAGCACTTACATTGCAGAAAAGTTGTTGCTTTACTAAAGGCGAACACATCCGCTTCATCAATTTGAAGAAAATTAGGATTTGTTTTTGCTTTTCAAAAATAATTTGTCAGTTCTGCTTACTGTTCTCAAAATAAGTCAACTGCAATTTTAAATATGTTAAATCAATTTATCTGTGTGAAGTGTGTACATTTTGTACAATTAAAAGCATTGTTTTAAATATTTATCATTATAGGAATTAATGTTTATAATGCAAAATATAGTGTATTGCTGGGTTAATTCGCTATTTTTTTAGTATGGAGTAATTTTGTCTCTCCATTACAAATAAGATATCGAAAACTTATGCCTGCACTACGCTTTATAATGAAATATCGCATTTCGATTGACGTATACTACGTTTTTTAAATTTCACAAGAAAATCAACGTTTATCTTTAAATCAACATTAAGTTTGAGACAAACGTTTCTCTATAGATTGTCAGTGAAACTAATCAAAGTTACATATAGTCCATGAACTATGTTGAAAGGCTTGAGTTTGGAAAATAGAAATACTAGCTATAAATCGTTTTGTATTTAAAATTATTTATACGGGATGTGAATATTTTATTAATAATTTTTATTGTTTTTCTATGTATCATCGTTTACTAAATCAAAGAAATATTTTAATGAAAGCTTCTTTGTATTTTGAAAATGTGAAGATATAAATTTCTAAATTTCATTTCCATTATAAATGAGACTAGTGCAATGAAGAATTTTTACAAGAACGTAATATGCTTTCATTCTTATTCTAATCTGAATAGCATGAATGCTTACATCATATAAGCAAGTATAAAAAAGCTTTTAAGTGTCATTCTTTATAACTCAATATAATGTGAAATACATATATAGAAGTATGAAGGGTAGCACTTAGAGTAATATTTAAGCTTTAGAAAATAAGAGTGATATTCCTTAGGTATTCAAATAAGAAAATTATTTGTTTTGATATAAACAAATAAAAAACTATCTCGCATGTCAAATTGCTACTTTTTTCAATCCAAAACAATTTCAATTACAGGTATAGTTATATAAAGTGTAGTACTGAGAAAAATATTTAATGCTTTTAGAAGTAAGAGGGATATTAAATGGGTATTAAAGAAAGAAAAGTTATTCATTTATTTATTTGTATTGTTAAATCTTAAAGGTGAGTATTAGAACTAGTATTCACTTTCCATTATATCATATGTGTGTGTATGTATACTGGTGAACAAAATTAAGAGATGGAACACCTTTTTCCATATAACTTGAAAAATTCTGGATAGATTTAAATGAAATTGGGTATAATGTGTACAAGACAACCCACAAATAATGTGTACAAAACCATGAAAATGCCATTCATTAGTATGAGTTATGGCAAGAGTCCAAATTTGAGGTTGAAAGATGGCAGTGAAAATGTGGCTAGTATGGGGTGTGTGGTCGTCTCTGACAGACAGAGAACATGCATAATGAGTAGCCATGACTAGAGAGTTTAGAAGTGTCTGTGGAAGTCGCACCCACTTCTCCACCAGAGCAGTTTTTAACTTTTGAATGGTTCTGGATGGGGGTTGGTGTATTGCAAAATCATTCCCAAGAGCATTCCAAGCATGTTCAATAGGCGTAAGGTTCGGAGATTTGGTTGCCCAATTCAATTGGTGAGTATCCTCGCTTTCCAGATGGTCATCAACCAGGTGGGCTCTTTGTGGTTTGTCGTCCATAAAAATGAACTTCGGGCAAACAACAGCCCTAAAAAGTCGCATATAAGATTCTAAGATCCCCTGTCTTTACCTCTGGGCATTCACAGAACTAGTGTCAAACACATGGAAAGGTGTGCGGGCATCTTGCTTGCATCCCTACCCAGACCATCACTTGGTCCGTTTCCATGATGTTGCTGGGATAGTATCGGGTCCCAAGGTTCCCTCCATATCAATAATCCCCGAGAATCAGGTTGTGGACTGAATCTGGACTCCTCCATGAAGAGCGCGTTAGCCCAATAGAGATCTGCTCAGTGTTGGTCATGTATGCACTATTGAAAACGCACTCTTTTGTGGGAGTGAGTGAGTAGAATGCAAATAACGAACTTTCTGGCATACAATCCTGTCTCGGGAGCCTTCTGGTATCTGTCTTTCTTGAAACTGATGTTCCTGTGACAGTAGCCGGGTCACGGGTGCTTATTCCCGAGTGCTGCAATGCTTGCTTGCTCTTTATTCTCCTTGCTACTCTTCATTAAAAATTAAAACACCAAACTTTGTAAAGTCATGTATGAGGCGGGTCAAATAATGACAGTAAATAACTAAATCGGAAGATTTCAGATTGATTTTTATTGCCCATTATAAATGAGACTAGAGATAAATTCTTATTCTGATGGTTCTCACGACGGACTAAAATAAAGAAACGGCATATAAATTATACCTGCATCAATATATTCTACCACTGTACTTATCAGCGAATCTATAAATTTTTTAGACGAAAACTTTTGTTAGATATACCAGAATATTTTTAGATGGAACTTGGGTATAGTCCTCTTGCGTTTTACCATGAGTTTACTAATTAAACGATAGACAGTGCTTGTTACATATTCCTTAAAGATAGCTTATAACAGTCATTTCCTTATTAACTACTTTCAGGCAAATATATATAAAATTATCTAATTGTCTTTCAACAATATGCTAATATATTAAACGTAATCTGCATTACAGAGGGGATTGTGTCAACTATTAAATGGGACCTTAATCCCTTTTCTTCGTTAGGAACAAAAGGTCCTAATTCCTAATCTAACATGGTGTAAACGTAGAATTTCACCATACATAAAAATATTGAACTTTTCTGAACTAAACGTAAAGAAAATACTTATCAAAACAGAAAAATATCATTTAATTAAATCCTAAAATTACGGTTCTTTCTTCACGAATAACTAA